GTTGGAATTATACATTTGATATAGTTAGTAATTATATACGGGTTACCCAAGAGCAGATTCACGGGCGTGTCACCTGTAACTTCTGCTACTCTGCTTTCGGGCGGGTCACCTTAAAAGCAGTTGGAATTATGTTATGTAATTAATAGCTATTGAAGTTGTAAATGTTGTATATATTACACTTTGAGCGAAATCATCAATTTAGTCATTTTTGAGACCACTTGATAATTTGTAACATTATTTGCTTTCTGTAAATTCTACTGTTTGCGAATGTCCAAGAAAAATTGCCTACGGCTTTTCTCCCCCGATGCATAAGGTCTTTGGCTGCCATAATTACTCCTACGCCACAACTACCCGAACCTTGCTTGGATGCCCTTGCATCTTTATCAGTTTGACTTGGCATACCAAGCCTTTTTGTAGATCTAACCTCTGCCCACCAATCCTTAGCAAATAACAAGCAATCGGTATAGGCGTCATGTAGTGCACCCATTACTTGTTTTATGCTGTCAAGTGCTCCCCGGGGAAGATTGAACTTCATCCCATCSTCAAAATAAATTGTCTTGTCCTCCAAGTCAATCAATATAATTCCCCAATGATTTGGCATATATACAGGAAGAATAATTTGCTTAATCTGTGCCCGTGGAGCACCGCAGTTGTCCATTACGCCGGCAATCTTGTCTTTCAAGTACYGATGATCTTGACTTTGTGTCCAGTCCCAAACAGAGGATGGCAAAAAAAGAGTAGGCACATTGTTGGAAAATGTATGCACTTCCCGCATATGTCTGGTTAGATAAACATCAATGACCATGTTATCGAGATATCTTTCCTCGCAGAGAAATGAAAATGAGGTAATATCTATTGCCCTTGTACTTCCACCTATTGACACTTTAAGGAKAACCTTACAGTTGTCGGTATCCCACAGAACATCAGCAACACTCTTTATTTCTTTCTCTTCGAAGCCATCATCCAAATTTAGCCATTGCGTTTCCCTAATAACATCACGTTTTATGTCATCTATATCACAGAATTTGCGCAAAACCCACAATTGGCTTTGATTGAATGAGCCTATGCTGCCAAATCTCACACCGTTGACGTTAGATATTCCAGAACTGCGTGCATCGGATAGAACTTTATCACTATGTTGGATTGCATTTCTAGATGGTCTTGTCAAAGACTTCCATGGGTCATGAAATGAGCGATTTGAAATAACAGCAGTTATTTGTTTATCATTAACATGCACGGTCTTTGGAATGATTAGATTGGCCAGTTGTCTCCTGCTTGCTTTCGATCCTGGCTTACAAAGGCCGAGGTCTTGCGTCGACGCTTTAACTTGGACTGGACACTTGACATAGGTAGTGCTAGTTATCCTGGGTGTGGCATCATGACTATCACTAGATGTCAAATCGCGTTGAACTGGTGTACTAGTGAGGAGAGGTTCTAGGTTTTCAAAGGATTCATCAGAGTTTTGTTGTGTACTGTCCGAAGTGGCTGTGCTAAAGCTTTTCGMGCAATTTGAGTGGGACTCGGTTTCACTAMTTTCGCAGCTATTTAGTATGCTTTCMTCGCTTATTTCTTCAAAATRAAGCTTCCTAGCTCTTTTTCGAGAGTGGTTTACTTGCGATTTTGTGGAGATAATCTCTTCATAAAATTCTTTGTGTGCTTGTTGATACTTCTTCTCCCATATTTCGTGATTGTAATTTTCTTTTGGCATGAAATCTGACTTTACTTTAACAGATTCTTGCTCGTGGTAACAGAACTCGAAAAAGTCATCGCCAAACATGCTTTTCATTAATTTTTCCATAGCAGCAAGCCAGTGGGMATCTTCATTTGTCAAGAAAGGGGCCTCACTTGTTTTCCATCCACATCCACGAAAAAACAAGGGCTTACCTAAGACCAGAGAGATGATAGTTTTTCAATCTAACGATAGCAAGTTATTTTTGAATAAACTTACTATTTATTTGATATGATACACATATTGTATAATTTAGTGTAATGTGTACTTTTTGATTTGCACTACTAGTACACCGAAAAATGTTGTACAATTTCCAGTTGAGAAAAAGGTTCTTTCTGTCATCCTTCAACAAAGGACAAACAAATCTATCAAATCGTAAGCAAATCATTTGTAACAAAATACTAATTACTCACCTTCTATATAGCGATAAATCGCATTTAACACGATTAAAAAGGAGCAGATTCACGGGCGTGTCACCTGTAACTTCTGCTACTCTGCTTTCGGGCGTGTCACCTTAAGCAGTTGGAATTATACATTTGATATAGTTAGTAATT